TATTCAATGGTAATAAATTGCAACTGCTTAGGTATGGAAAGAATGAAGAACTCAAAGGAACAGATTGCATACAAAACTCAAGAGGATCATAATATAGAATGAAAGGGACATGTACAAGACTTAAGAATAACTATGTCAACTGATCTTTCTCTCAAAGAACATAAAAAGACAAAGGTCATGACAACCAGGAGAATGACAGGGTGGGTACTGAGAACCTTCAAAACATGGGAAATAATACCAATGATGACACTTTTCAAATTGCTAGTGCTCCCCCATTTGGAATATTGCTCAGTGCTCATGGTCCTAATCAAGGCAGGAGAAATATCAGAGCTTGAACAAATACAGAAATCATTTATGGCCCACAAAGAGCCAGTAAAGCATTTGAATTAGTGGGAATACCTTAAGAGGGGTTGTTGAGGTGGTTTGGTCATTTAGAGAGAATGGATCAAAGTAAAATGACATGGAAAGCATATAAATCTATAGGGGAAGGAAGGAGGGGTAGGGGTCGTCCTCGAAAGGGTTGGAAAGAAGGGGTAAAGGTGGTTTTGTGGGCTAGGGGCTTGGATTTCCAGCAAGCGTGCATGAGCGTGTTAGATAGGAGTGAATGGAGGCAAATGATACTTGGGACCTGACGATCTGTTGGAGTGTGAGCAGGGTAATATTTAGTGAAGGGGTTCAGGGAAACTGGTTATTTTCATATAGTCAGACTTGAGTACTGGAAATGGGAAGTACAATGCCTGCACTTTAAAGGAGGGGTTTGGGATATTGGCAGTTTGGAGGGATATGTTGTGTATCTTTATACGTATATGCTTCTAAGCTGTTGTATTCTGAGCACCTCTGCAAAAGCAGTGATATTGTGTGAGTGTGGTGAAAGTGTTGAATGATGATGAAAGTATTTTCTTTTTGGGGATTTTCTTTCTTTTTTGGGTCACCCTGCCTCGGTGGGAGACGGCCGACTTGTTGAAAAAAAAAAAAAAAAACTTAGTCTTGAAAATGTACTCACTGGAGTGGAGGAGAGAGAGATACATAATAATATATACCTAGAAGGTACTTGAGGGCCTAGTCCCAATCTGCACACAGCCATTAACAACATACTGGAGCAAGAGATATGGGAGGAAGTGCAAGATAAACCCAGTGAAGAGCAGGGGCACAGTGGGCACAGTAAGGAAAAACTGTATCAACATTCGTGATCCCAGATTATTCAACATCTTACCAGAAGATATCAGAAACACTGCTGGAACAAGTGTAGAAGTCTTCAAGAAAAGACTGGACAAGTATCTTCACCAGGTGCCAGATCAACCAGGTTGTGATGGATATGTGGGGCAGCGGGCCTCCAGCAGCAATAGCCTAATTGACCATGCTAGCACCAGATGAGCCATGACCAGGCTCCAGGAGTAGAAAAACTCTTGAAACTCATCAAAGGTATATTAAAGGTATTCTTATGTTCTTATTTATTATTCTAATCAGGAGGAAGTGCTAAACCCATAGATGTTATGCATTACTCGAGGAGTAAGAAGCATTTCGGTTGGATCCAAGGGAGGATAAATTCAGTTACTTGGATCAAGAGCCCTTCACTGTACAAAAACATAACCCTCTTCAGGGGTTATGTCCCTTTTACAAGTAAGAAGGGTTGGGTTTTGAGAAGAACCTGCCCAGCAAAGGGCTGTGGTCTTTCTGCAGCGCTTTGTCTTATGTTCTTATATAAATGAGAAGGGTTGTGTTTGAGAAAAAATACCTAGTATAGGCAAGTAAGATTAATTAAGTGCTTCTCTATTCTTATGTTTACAGAAAATACTCTTTTATATTTTTTACTTAAATGAAACTTTCATATTTAACTCAAAACCATCTCCTGCCAAGGCAGGGTGACCCAAAGAAGAAATCACATTCACATTCTCAGAGCTGCTCAGAACCATCACAAAACCCCAAAACCCAACAATATGAACATGGTGGTGATTCACAGAACAATTGATAATTTCTTTTTTTTTGGGTTTTTGCACTCATCGGGTATTAGTTTGGGCAATTTACTGGTAAAAAAAAACCTTATTTTAGGGCGGTAATATAGGGTACAAAAAAAAAGCGGGTTTTAGAAGGGCTTATGCAATTTTCACAAATCCTTGGAATCAGTAAATCACAAAAACAAATAATATTTTCCCAAAGAAATAAACTCCTAATCTCAGAAATAGAGTGCCCCTTTTCCTTCATGGATCAACCCCTTATTCCCTCTTTTTCTAAAGAACTCCTATATTTGGTAACCCTGCAAATGTAATCATAGCGGTTTCTTTTTTGTGAGACTATTTTTTAAATTAAAAAGTTTGGGTGTTAATGTGACATTTTTTTTTTTTTTTTTCACAAGTGGGTTCGTCTCCCACCGAGAAAGGGTGACCCAAAAAAAGAAAGAAAATCCCCCAAAAGAAAATATTTCATCATCATTCAACATTTTCACCACACTCACACATTATCACTGCTTTTGCAGAGGTGCTCAGAATAAACTTTGAAGCTAAAGTATAGAGATACACAACATATCCCCCAAACTGCCAATATCCCAAACCCCTCCTTTAAAGTGCAGGCATTGTCTTCCCCCTTTCCAGGGCTCAAGTCCGATATATGAAAATAACCCGGGTTTCCCTGAATCCCCTTTATAAATTTACCGCTCACACTCCCAAAAGATCGTCAGGTCCCAAGTATCATTTGTCCCATTACTCCATCTAACAGCTCTGCAGCTTGCTGGAAGTCCCCAACCCCTCACCCCCAAAACCTCCTTTACCCCCCCCTTTCCAACCCTTTTGAGGACGACCCCTACCCCTCTTTTCCCTTCCCCTATAATTTATATGCTTTCCCTGTCTTTACTTTGATCCTTCTCTCTAAATGACCAAACCCCCCCAAAAACCCCTCCCCTTTGCCCCTATAATGCTTTTATTAACTCCACCCTTCTCCTAATTTCCACACCCGAATTTTTTGCATAATATTTTCACCACAATTGCTGATATTGAGATATTTCAGTCACAAAAATTAAGACTGAAAAAGAATCTATCAATGTAACTGTAATATCATGAACTTAAAAAGCAATAGGGGGAATCAGCGTCAACAAGTTTGGATTGTTTGATTTTTTACATAGGATAAAAGAAAAACGAAAATTCTGTACTTGGGGCAACATCCCTTTTCCAAATTATGGCAAGCACTGCTCAATGAAATTCTGACAAAAGATAACTTTTTTTTTTAACACACTAGCCATCTCCCATCAAGGCAGGGTGACCCCCCCCCCCAAAAAAAAAAAAAAAAAAAACTTTCACCATCATTCACACTATCACTCTCTTCTAGAGGAGCACAGATAAGACAGTTTAGATGTCACTCTAAACAGCAAATATCCCAAACCCCTCTTTTAGAGTGCAGACACTGTACTTTCCACCTCCAGGACTCAAGTCCAGCTACTGGATACTGGATAATATTTTACATAAAACTCCTGGAATTGAGTAAGAGGTAAACCTCATATAAGACATCTGTCAACCTACCTCAGAGCATTCATTAATATCACGACACTGCTCTCCATTTGGTGTGAGGGTATAGCCATCAGCACACTCGCATCTGAATGAACCTTCAGTGTTTCGACAGCGACCATTGACACAAAGACCTACGTTGATCAGACACTCATTCACATCTGTACAAAGAGAATACTACAAAAGTTTGTGGCTTATAAAATGTGAATAGAGATGTCATTTCTGTTACTGCCTCCTCCTCCTAATAATAATAATAATAATAATAATAATAATAATAATAATAATAATAATAATAAATTAATTATTTTCACATGATACATGGTTGTACAAAGGAACATAAAAGTTGGGTGTACATGCCAAAAGCCCCTTTGTATGCGGAGCATTTTGGGCAAACTTAAAATTAACTTAAGATTAATAAGGCAATAACAGTTCATATGGTCACTGGATGAGTTACAGCAAGTACAAGAGAAATTAGTATTATTAGGTAATGCTATATGACTTTAATAAGTCTAGTACAGAATTTTCAGTAGAGAATATTACACTACTGAATTAGTTTATAACAATTTACAATATGATTTTTATTACAATTTAGTCTATTTAAAACAATAAAATTTTAAAGAATCTTAATTTAGAAGTAATGAGTAAATGGTTGAGCAATCCTCAGTACAATATGAAGTACAGTGGTCCCTTTGGGATATGAACTGAAAATGTGTAATACATGATTAACCTTAAATGGTCAAACGTATATATACGTTTTTCAACTTTCTAAAAGTAGAAAAAAAAGTGATCTTCTTTTTTGTTTTACATTTGAAAATGTGTAAAAAAAACTTTTTATCTACATTTTATTTTTGTTACATATGAAAATATGTTAAAAAAAGTAGATCTAATTTTGTAGCACTACGAATTTGAACTTTGATTTGCTTGGACCGTTTAACCCTTTGGGGGTTTTTTTGGTCGTACTAGTACGTCTTACGCGTGGGGGTTTTGACGTACTAGTACGCATAAATTCTAGCGGCCTCAAATCTCGCAGGAAAAGGCTGATAAGCCTAGATGTGAGAGAATGGGTCTGTGTGGTGGGTGTGCGCAGTAGGAAAAAAATCTGGGACCCAGTGGTGCATTGTGGGAATGCCATCATAGTACACAATTTCCACCGTGGCCTGCGGTAAGAAGTTCCTCACTCCTCGGCGAATTGGGACACTTTTGTTCCCCAGTGACAGTTCTATACAGAGGGAAGTGCAGTGAAGATGAGTTTCAAGGTTCTGGTGAGGTTTTGACCGAAACTAATGACCATAATATGGTTAATAGTGAGGAAAACCCAGACAACCCACAGCCTTCCACCTCTGGTGCTGGGCCGTCGTTCAGTTGTACCAGAATCAAAGAGGAAACTCCTATTTTCCAAAATCCAAGCTCAGATGTGAGCATTGGTGATGATAATGATAGTGATTATGAACTACAAGTCTTCAAACTTGTTCCAAGAATGGAGGAGGAGGGGGGAAGGGGAGGAGGCAAGAGGGGGGAGGCAAGAGGGGAGGAGGCAGAGGGGAGGAGGAGGAGGAGGAGGAAGAAAAAGAGGAGGAGGAGGAGGAAGAAAGGAGGAGGAGGAGGAGGAGGAGGAGGAGGAGGAGGAGGAGGAGGAGGAGGAGGAGGAAGAAGAAGAATACTAATGATAACAAAAAATACATAATAATAATACAAATATATAATAATACATAATAAAAATAATAAATAGGTAATAATTTTAAATATGTAATAATAAATGTTCACCCATGACAGTAACAAGAAAAGGGAGATAACATCTGATAAGTGCTGAGTTTGATGAGGTAAATGAGGGTAGAGCTGATGCCAAAAGATGAGATGAACATCGCCCTCCCTTTGTTTTTGTGGTATACTAACATTTCTGTCTGTCTATTTGCCTGTCTGTAAAGCTCCCTGTCTACCCATCTAGCTCTCTGTCTCAGAGACCCACAAGACTACGTCATGACTTTTACTCACATCTTCAAGCAGAGTATAGCACTTTGTCTGGGTTTCTTGGGTTATCCTAGGTAATTTATACTATGTATCTTGTATTTATTTTGTCCCTGTGAGACAGAGATAGACAGACAGATAGAATGAGGGGAGAAAGATAATTAGATAGAATGGAGGAGGGGAAGCGCATCCGACCCCATTGTTTTGACGGGCCGGAGGGGGAAAGAGTAATGACCAATATGTCACTTTGACAGCTGCCGACTCCTTGTAATTTACATATGGACGAGGGGGAGGAAGAGTAGGGGGAAGAGGAAGAAGAGGAGAGGAGGAAGAGGAAAAGAGTAGGATGAAGAGGAATAAGAGGAAGAGGAGGAGGAAGAGGATATTTAGGAGGAAGATTAGGGGGAAGAGGAGGAAGAGGAAGAAGAGGGGGAGGAGGAAGAGTAGGAGGAAGGGGAAAGAAGAGGAGGAGGGGGAAGAGGAGGAGGAGGAAGAGGAAGAGTAGGAGGAAGAGGAAGAGGAGGAAGAGGAAGAGTATGGGGGAAGAGTAGGGGGAAGAGGAGGAAGAGTGGGGGGAAGAGGAGGAAGAGGAAGAAGAGGAGGAGGGGGTGGAACACTAGTACATGGAAACTGGTACACTAACATTTCTGTCTGTCTATTTGTCTGTCTGTCAAGCTCCCTGTCTATCTGTCTATCCGTCTAGCTCTCTATCTCAGAGAGCCACAAGACTGTGTCATCACTTTTACTCACATCTTCAAGCAGAGTATAGCATTTTGTCTGGATTTTTTGGGGTTTTACCCTAGGTAATTTACACTATGTATACTTGATTTATGTGTACTGTGAGACAGAGATAGACAGACAGATAGAAAGAGAGGGGCAGATTGAAAGAGATAGAATTAGGGAGAAAGATAAAACACCATTGTGTATGAAACCATGTTTCAGAGTTCCACAAGCTGCAGAACTAATAGGAATATGTTCAGTGATTTTATATTGGTATATATATTATAGAACAATAATAATAAACAATGTTTTGTTGTTTGTTTTGTAAACAATTTTGTAAACAATATATTGATAATTATGTTTGTGTGGGTTATTGTGTTGTATACAACGAGTGTATATATGTACATTGCACCTTACTTTGGTCTCATAGGCCACATAAGTTATGTGAAAAAATAAAATAGTGAAAAAAACAACAAACCTTCAAATACAAGTAAATCAAAGTTTACCGGGTGAGGACGGCAGTCGCCCCTGTTGCCATTTCGCGGCTCATTTTCTGCAAACTTCATGCACCATATCTCCGTAAGTATTGATGGTAAAATTTTTTTTTTTTTTATCCTATAATGTTTAGAAAAAAAACTCTTTTTTTTTCATAAGAAAAAATAATTTTTTTTTTTTTGAAATTTGGGCCGACCCTGAGAAAGAGTTTCGGAGAGGGCTGTCGACCCTCAAAGGGTTAAGGGTTAAAGTATTAAATGATTAAATATATGCATATAAATAACAAATGCCTAGTGCTCTAATAAAGCTCATATTATCAAGTAAATTTCTTAGATATGCTTTGACTCTCAATTATCTTCAGTCATGTCCCTAATCTAATTAATAGCTTTCCAAAAGTAATCTTAAATTTTTTTTTTAACAGGACGGCCATATCCCACCAAGGCAGGGTGGCCCAAAAAGAAAAACGAAAGTTTCCTCTTAAATTTAGTAAATTTTTACCAGAAAGGGTCACTAGCCCTTGCTCCAGCATTAAAACCCTGGACCCAAGTGGTGAGAGGCGTGACTCTCACCACTGGGCTACCCCGTAGGGTATAAGAATTTTTGTGGTCGCTTTCCGCACCCTTTACCCCCTCCCCCCAACCTTTCCTAGGCCAACACCTAACCCCGCCTACCCTCACTACAGATTTATACACTCTCGAAGTCATTCTATTTTGTTCCATCCTCTCTACATGTTCAAAACCATCTCAATAAAAACCCCTTCCTCAGACCTCTGGATAATGTTTTGGAACTAAAAGGCAAAGAAACAAACTATCACTAAAAAATAGTCCCCCGACAGATATAAGGTGCAAAGAACTGTAGCTGTTGAGGGTCTTAAATACTGGCACTTTAAAGTCAGAGTTAGCAGGATAAGCTTTTGCAAATGGGGCCATCTTTAAACTTGCAAAATAGTCAGATAGTCAGGAAATCCCCTTTAATACTGGTCTGATTCACAGCAGAATGAACTCAGCCTACATACCCGATATTATATAACTAGACACTGGCCACAACATACCAGTTATAGAGATATTACATACACAAAGGAGAAAGAAACTTAATGATGACTAATTACGTCCAAACTGGATTGAAACATCATCATAAGTTTCTTTCTCCTATGTGAGGGCTATCTGTGTTTGATCAGTCAAGGTATTGTACCTCTGTGTTCTTTGAGTATTACATCCCTGTTGTAAGCTACCGTGTATAATTTGTGCCAGTATCTGTTGGTCCTGTGGTGCACCCTGTAAGTCATAACATCAATAACCTAAGACAAATGTATGTATAATTTGAAACAAAACACTGCATGAGCTTACCGATACAGTCACGGTTAGGGCCAATCTTGAATCCTCGATAGCACTGACACTGGTAGGACCCCATGGAATTAAGGCATGTCCCATTATTGCAGATATTGGGGGAAGGGAAACACATTATCCAAGTCAATGCACGAGGAGCGGTTGCTGTGAGCACATAACCTGGGTCGCATATACACTGGAAGCTTCCCTGAAAATTATTGCAGACACCATGTTGACAAACCCCTTCGTGTTCACATTCGTTGATGTCTGCAACACCAAATACATTAAAGTTATAAAAAAATGACTCGAACATTATATATTTAAGTGCTAGGACAGTAACTTGATAATATTTTTATTCAAAATTTTACAATGTGTGTATAAGTGATGGAGGTAGTAGGTTGGTAGACAGCAACCACCCAGGGAGGTACTACCGTGCTGCCAAGTGAGTGTAAAATGAAAGCCTGTAATTGTTTTACATAATGGTAGGATTGCTGGTGTCTTTTGTCTGTCTCATGAATATGCAAGATTACAGGTACATCTTGCTATTTCTACTTACACTAAGGTCACACTATACATGGCAGGAAAAGAGCGAGTATAAATGTATTAATTCCAGGATTATGCAGAGTAAAATAAAAGTTGGATGTGAAAAGTGAGTTATAGCAAGTCCATATGTACATGGAGAAGAGATCAGTGTAGAGGAAAGAGAGAGATTTAGAGAAATGTTGAGTGAATGTGTGGGGAGTTTTGAACCAAGTGTGAGAGTACTTGTGGTTGGGGATTTCAATGCTGAAGTGGGTAAAAATGTTGTGGAGGGAGAAGTAGGTAAATTTGGGGTGCCAGGGGTAAATGAAAATGGGGAGTCTTTAATTGAGCTATGTGAAGAAAGAGGTTTGGTAATAAGTAATACATATTTTATGAAAAAGAGGATAAATAAATAAACAAGGTATGATATAGCACGTAATGAAAGTAGTTTGTTAGATTATGTATTGGTGGACAAAAGGTTGATGGGTAGGCTCCAGGATGTACATGTTTATAGAGGGGCAACTGATATATCAGATCATTATTTAGTTGTAGCTACAGTTAGAGTAAGAGGAAAATGACAACAACAAGAGAGAGGTGAAAGTGTATAAACTAAGGGAGGAGGAAGTTCGGGTGAGATATAAGCAACTATTGGCAGAAAGGTGGGCTGGTGCAAGTATGAGTAGTGGCAGGGGTTGAAGAAGGTTGGAATAGTTTTAAAAATGCAGTATTAAAATGTGGGGCAGAAGTTTGTGGTTATAGGAGGGTGGGTGCAGGAGGAAAGGGGAGTGATTGGTGAAATGATGAAGTAAAGGGTGTGATGAAAGAGAATAAGATAGCTTATGAGAGGTTTTTACAAAGCAGAACTGCTATAAGAAAAGCAGAGTATGTGGAGAGTAAAAGAAAGGTGAAGAGAGTGGTGAGAGGGTGCAAAAAAGAGAGCAGATGATAGAGTGGGAGAGGCACTGTCAAGAAATTTTAATGAAAATAAGAAAAATTTTTGGAGTGAGTTAAACAAGTTAAGAAAGCTTAGGGAAAATATGGATTTGTCAGTTAAAAACAGAGTAGGGGAGTTAGTAGATGGGGAGATGGAGGTATTAGGTAGATGGCGAGAATATTTTGAGGAACTTTTAAATGTTAAGGAAGAAACAGAGGCAGTAATTTCATGCATTGGTCAGGGAGGTACACCATCTTTTAGGAGTGAAGTAGAGCAGAATGTAAGTGTGGGGGAGGTACGTGAGGCATTACGTAAAATGAAAAGGGGTAAAGCAGCTGGAACTGATGGGATCATGACAGAAATGTTAAAAGCAGGGGGGATATAGTGTTGGAGTGGTTGGTACTTTTGTTTAATAAATGTATGAAAGAGGGGAAGGTACCTAGGGATTGGCGGAGAGCATGTATAGTCCCTTTATATAAAGGGAAAGGGGACAAAAGAGACTGTAAAAATTATAGAGGAATAAGCTTACTGAGTATACCAGGAAAAGTGTACGGTAGGGTTATAATTGAAAGAATTAGAGGTAAGGCGAAAATGTAGGATTGCGGATGAGCAAGGAGGTTTCCGAGTGGGTAGGGGATGTGTAGATCAAGTGTTTACATTGAAGCATATATGTGAACAGTATTTAGATAAAGGTAGGGAAGTTTTTATTGCATTTATGGATTTAGAAAAGGCATATGATAGAGTGGATAGAGGAGCAATGTGGCAGATGTTGCAAGTATATGGAATAGGTGGTAAGTTATTAAATGCTGTAAAGAGTTTTTATGAGGATAGTGAGGCTCAGGTTAGGGTGTGTAGAAGAGAGGGAGACTACTTCCAGGTAAAAGTAGGTCTTAGACAGGGATGTGTAATGTCACCATGGTTGCTTAATATATTTATAGATGGGGTTGTAAAGGAAGTAAATGCTAGGGTGTTCGGGAGAGGGGTGGGATTAAATTTTGGGGAATCAAATTCAAAATGGGAATTGACACAGTTACTTTTTGCTGATGATACTGTGCTTATGGGAGATTCTAAAGAAAAATTGCACAGGTTAGTGGATGAGTTTGGGAATGTGTGTAAAGGTAGAAAGTTGAAAGTGAACATAGAAAAGAATAAGGTGATGAGGGTGTCAAATAATTTAGATAAAGAAAAATTGGATATCAAATTGGGGAGGAGGAGTATGAAGAAGTGAATGTTTTCAGATACTTGGGAGTTGACGTGTCGGCGGATGGATTTATGAAGGATGAGGTTAATCATAGAATTGATGAGGGAAAAAAGGTGAGTGGTGCGTTGAGATATATGTGGAGTCAAAAAACGTTATCTATGGAGGCAAAGAAGGGAATGTATGAAAGTATAGTAGTACCAACACTCTTATATGGGTGTGAAGCTTGGGTGGTAAATGCAGCAGCGAGGAGACGGTTGGAGGCAGTGGAGATGTCCTGTTTAAGGGCAATGTGTGGTGTAAATATTAAGCAGAAAATTCGGAGTGTGGAAATTAGGAGAAGGTGTGGAGTTAATAAAAGTATTAGTCAGAGGGCAGAAGAGGGGTTGTTGAGGTGGTTTGGTCATTTAGAGAGAATGGATCAAAGTAGAATGACATGGAAAGCATATAAATCTATAGGGGAAGGAAGGCGGGGTAGGGGTCGTCCTCGAAAGAATTGGAGAGAGGGGGTAAAGGAGGTTTTGTGGGCAAGGGGCTTGGACTTCCAGCAAGCGTGCGTGAGCGTGTTAGATAGGAGTGAATGGAGACGAATGGTACTTGGGACCTGACGATCTGTTGGAGTGTGAGCAGGGTAATATTTAGTGAAGGGATTCAGGGAAACCGGTTATTTTCATATAGTCGGACTTGAGTCCTGGAAATGGGAAGTACAATGCCTGCACTTTAAAGGAGGGGTTTGGGATATTGGCAGTTTGGAGGGATATGTTGTGTATCTTTATATGTGTATGCTTCTAGACTGTTGTATTCTGAGCACCTCTGGAAAAACAGTGATAATGTGCGAGTGTGGTGAAAGTGTTGAATGATGATGAAAGTATTTTTCTTTTTGGGGATTTTCTTTCTTTTTTGGGTCACCCTGCCTCGGTGGGAGACGGCCGACTTGTTGAAAAAAAAAAAAAAAAATATGATAGAGTGTATAGGGGAGCAATGTGGCAGATGTTGTTAGTATATGGAATAGATGTTAAGTTACTAAATGCTGTAATGAGTTTTTATGAGGATAGTGAGGCTCAAGTTAGGGTGTGTAGAAGAGAGAGAGACTACTTCCTGGTAAAAGTAGGTCTCAGACAGGGATGTGTAATGTCATCATGGTTGTTTAATATATTTATAGATGGGGTAGTAAAAGTAGTAAATGCTAGGGTGTTCGGGAGAGGGGTGGGATTAAATTATGGGGAATCAAATACAAAATGGGAATTGATACAGTTACTTCTTGCTGATGATACTGTGCTTATGGGAGATTCTAAAGAAAAATTGCAAAGGTTAGTGGACGAGTTTGGGAGAGTGTAAAGGTAGAAGTTAAAAGTGAACATGGAAAAGAGTAAGGTGATGAGGGTATCAAATGATTTAGATAAAGAAAAATTGGACATCAAATTGAAGAGGAGGAGTATGGAAGAAGTAAATGTTTTCAGATATTTGGGAGTTGACGTGTCAGCGGATGGATTTATGAAGGATGAGATTAATCACAGAATTGATTAAGGAAGGAAAGTGAGTGGTGCGTTGAGGTATATGTGGAGACAAAAAACGTTATCTATGGATGCAAAGAAGGGAATGTATGAAAGTATAGTAGTACCAACACTCTTATATGGGTGTGAAGCTTGGGTGGTAAATGCAGCAGCGAGGAGACGGTTGGAGGCAGTGGAGATGTCCTGTCTAAGGGCAATGTGTGGTGTAAATATTATGCAGAAAATTTGGAGTGAGGAAAGTAGGAGGTGTGGAGTTAATAAAAGTATTAGTCAGAGGACTGAAGAGGGGTTGTTGAGGTGGTTTGATCATTTAGAGAGAATGGATCAAAGTAGAATGATATGGAGAGCTTATAAATCTGTAGGGAAAGGAAGGCGGGGTAGGGGTCGTCCTCGAAAAGGTTGAAGGGAGGGGGTAAAGGAGGCTTTGTGGGCGAGGGGCTTGGACTTCCAGCAAGCATGCATGAGCGTGTTAGATAGGATTGAATGGAGACGAATGGTATTTGGGACCTGACATGCTGTTGGAGTGTGAGCAGGGTAATATTTAGTGGAGGTATTCAGGGAAACCGGTTATTTTTATATAGCCGGACTTGAGTCCTGGAAATGGGAAGTACAATGCATGCACTCTAAAGGAGGGGTTTGGGATATTGGCAGTTTAGGGGGATATGTTGGGTATCTTTATACGTATATGCTTCTAAACTGTTGTATTCTGAGCACCATTGCAAAAACAGTGATTATGTGTGAGTGAAGTGAAAGTGTTGAATGATGATGAAAGTATTTTCTTTTGGGAGATTTTCTTTCTTTTTGGGTCACCGTGCCTCAGTGGGAGACGGCCGACTTGTTAAAAAAAAAAAAAAATAATTTTACTGAGATTAAGCTTAATTACCAAGTAATTTTTTGTGCAAAATTTACCTATATATATATCATTAATTTACTAAAATATAATTAATAAATGCAAATGATAAATTTTTTGAAGAAATCTACTTGTAGGGAAACTTGACTTTCTGTCTTACTCAGCTTAAAAAGCATGACATATATGCATACAGTATATACTGGGAAGATTTCATTTGAATGCATAATATGTGAGCAACCAATGTACAATATACTATACCAAATTTGCAAAATATAACACATACCAACACAGTCATTGTTGTGTCGGCTGATTTTATAACCAGGAGGGCAAGAGCAGCGATAACTTCCCACAGTGTTCTCACACTTAGCTAAGCCTTGGCATGGTGAAAATTCATCACACTCATTGATATCTGAAATAATAAATGAGTCAGATGGTATAAAACATTTAAATATAGTAATCATACACATATACACAATTATACATGCATGCATGCAAGTGTGCACGTGTGTGTGTGTGTGTGTGTGGGGTGTGTGTGTGTTGGTGTGTGATGTGTGTGTGTGTGTGTTTTTGGGGTTTTGGGTGGTGAGTGTGTGTGTGTGTGTCCCTGTGTGCCCCGTGTGTTCACGAGTTGTGCGTGTGAACTGCCATTGGTGTGCGTGTTGCTTGTGCTGGTGCGGTGTGTGGTTTTGTGATGTGTTGTGTGTTGTGTGTGTTTGTTGTGTTGTGGGTGTGTGTGTGTGTTGTTGTGTGTGTTGTGTGTGTACTCACCTATTTGTCCTCACTATTGTGGTTGCAGGGGTCGATTCCCTTCTTCTGGGCCCCCCTCTTGCTGAATGCTACTAGGCCTCTCTCTCCCTGCCCCATGAGCTCTTTCATAAACCCCGCCCTTTAAAATATGTATGGTTCCTGCCTCCACCACATCACTTTCTAGGCTATTCCATGGCCTGACTACTCTATGACTGAAGAAATACTTCCTAACATCCCTTTGATTCATCTGAGTCTTCAACTTCCAGTTGTGACCTCTTGTGTCTGTGTCCCGTCTCTGGAACATCCCGTCTTTGTCCACCTCGTCTATTCCGCGCAGTATTTTATATGTCGTTATCATGTCTCCCCTGACCCTCCTGGCCTCCAGTGTCGTCAGGCCGATTTCCCTCAATCATTTTTTTTATAACATGCCGGACATCTCCCACTGAAGCAGGGTGACTGGAAAAAGAAACACTTTCACCATCATTCACACTATCATTGTCTTGCCTCTGGCAAGACAATGATAAACAGCAAATATCCCAATCCCCTCATTTAGGGTGCAGGCACTGTACTTCTACCTCCAGGACTCAAGTCCGCCTAACAGGTTTCTCTGAATCCCTTCACAAAATATTACCACGCTCACACTCCAACAGCTTCTTAAGTTCCAAAAACCATTGTCTCAACTCACTCCTACTTATCAGGCTCACACATGCCTGCTGTGATGGCCCCCTACCCTACCTTCCCTCCACTACAGATTTATAAGCCCTCCAAGTCATCCTATTTTGCTCCATCCTCTCTAAATGACCAAACCACCTCAACAACCCCTCCTCAGCTCTCTGGATAACACTTTTAGTAACTCCACACCTCGTAATCTTCAAAATGTGAGATCTCTGCATAATATTTACACCATACATTGCCCTCAGACACGACATCTCCACTACCTCCAGCCTCCTCTTTGTTGCAACATTCACAACCCAACAGTCATCTGGTGACCTTAGGATGAAAACATTCACCAACGTTCATTCAGTTGTCATCTTTCTAGAAGTATCTGACATCATAATCCAATTACACCTGTACATATTGGTATTATATATTGTATTATTTCAAGGAATGTTAAGGAGTCAAACCTTAAGTTTAGCATGTGCTAATCCTAGACTCTACCAATGAACTGTGAAGGCTACAAGACTGGCAACCTTATCCCAGGTAATGTCCTCAGCTAACCCAGCTGCTACATGGAGTGCAGGTTTCTTTATAAACAATCTCTCACATACAACAGTTGGAATGATCAGATATATCACTTGTATGTCTAAGCCTTGTGAATATCTTACAGTCACGACTAAAAGAATTACAAAGAAAAGTTTATATACTAAATACTCAAGTAATATTGTATGTTCTACATGAGTGTTTCATATTTATACTTTTCCTCTTTCTCTATTTTTTTGGCTGCAATTTTTGCTCCAATATAAAACAACTTAAAATACACAGAGCATGCATAACACATTTACCCCCAAAACTGCTAGTACTGTTACATACCAACACACATGTGACTGGGTTCATTGTATCGGAAGCCAACATTACACTCGCAACGAAATGAGCCCATGGTGTTTATGCAGCGGCCATTCTTGCACATCATGTGACCCATCAGCTCGCACTCATCAAAGTCCTCAGGTTGTCCAGTTAGGGGATTAATCACCTGGCCACTGTCCACCACTGGGACTCGACTACTGCCAGGTCTAGAAACATCAGTGCCATCACTACTTCCAATCTCCTCAGGGTGTATACCAGGGATTGTGCCTCACCCATAGCCCTACAGGCCTGCCATCAGGCCCTACAGGCCTGCCATCAGGCCCTACAGGCCTGCCGTCAGTCTCTAATTGGCCTGCCATCAGGCCCTATTGGCCTGCCATCAGGCCCTACTGAGCTGCCATCAGGCCCTACAGCCCTGCCATCAGGCCCTACAGGCCTGCCATCAGGCCCTACAGGCCTACCATCAGGAACACGATCTCAGGGCGTCGAGGGCGTTCACGATCATGAGGGCCCTCTCCAGAGCCTACAGTCATATGTCATCAGTAGTGGGAAAACCATCTACCGATGGTCTTCTTCTATCACCTGGGCCTGGGATCAAACCAATACCCACGTGACAGAGTACGTTGAAGGCCACTGTAACAAGATAAAATATATTTTTAATGTTGGAGCAAGTTTACAATATGTCTATATAAGAAATAAAAACAGTCATTATAATCTGAAAAGTATTTGAAATATCTGACTAAACTGTATTGGGTTTAGCAATTATTAAAAAATTTTTTTGTTAAATCTTCTACTGTGAGACGTGGATTTCACTCAAATCGAGGAATGCAATTTAACTCCAGCATTTGTCTAAGCAATGAGGATCAGGACTAAGCCTGGAAGGGTGCACGCCACCAACATTACCAACCAAAAAATAAAACTAAAAGCCAAACCCAAGCACATCTGCGGGGGAGTACCAAAATTTCTGTACTTTGGGATTGGGGGTTTTTCTGTTGGGAAATGGAGACGGGGAACTTGTTCTGAAGCAACATTATTTTAAAATTTTTTATTTTTAATTTATTATTATTATTATATTTTTTTTATTATTATTACTATTTTTTTTTGGGGGTCTGATTTTGGGGACTGAACCCCCCCCAAGCCTCCCCTTGATACGTCACTGTACATCTGCAGCTCTTAAATTATTTAAAAACGTTTTACGTTTTCTTCCCCCAAATGAAAAAAAATGGAAGCTTTTTTAACGGGGAAGGCTTGCCAACCCAATTTTTAACTCAAAAGGCCACACATTTCTATTCTGTATTGTAGGTTATAAAAAAAATAACATAAACTTAGCCACAAAAGCTAAAATCAGATATAACATCGTTATATTTATTCATACTACAGCTTAACATGCCCAAGCTAACAAAATTTCCTAAACTGTGCACCCTTATTAACAAACCAAAACAAAAGAGTTGGCAGTCTTCTTAATCAATTTACAAGACGCCAATGTTGCTATAGAAGGGGGCAGTGGGACCAAGTTATAATTTCCCATCAACTAAAAACAGGGGCCCTTTAAGAAAATCCAGGTAGCACTTTTGCATTCCCATTTTTTGAAAAAAAACACATTGAAACTTTTGGGTACTTTATTGGGGAAAACATTTCGCCACCAGTGGCTTCATCAGCCATAGTAGGGGAAAATTGAAGAACAGAGGAGAATGATAATTTAGTCCCTCAACCTTGGTCGATGTGTTTTATCCATCAAACTTGAAAAGAATTCGGCATATCCGTAGAAGCACTTAAAAACCCTATGGCAGGAAGGCAGCAGTCATAGGTCGGAAAAAATTGTTCAATGTGGAAATAGGTCTGCCCAAGAATTTGGCAAGCGAAGAATTCCTAAGTATTAAGATCCCAAGAAATTGCAGTGTCTGACAGTTTGTATATGAAGGGTTTAGAGAACCGACATGTTTTTTAAAAATTTAAAAATGGGCAAAATCTTGGGTATCTTTTGAGGAACGTTGCCACACGTGGCTTCATCAGTTTACATGGGGAAAAATTGAAGAACAGGAGGGGAAAAGAGGTAACGTCCCTCAACCTTTAGTGATGTGAAGCCACTGGTGGCGAAAAATTTTTCCTCAATAAAAGACCCAAGAGTTGACATGTTCTAATTTTATCAACATGTCGGTTCTCGAAAACCCTTCATCTACAAATTCCCATTTTTTGTGTTCAGTCCAGCAAACTTGTAGCAAAATTCTCCCCTTAAAACTTGAAGGACAAGTTGGGGTTTACAGCCCAACGGCAATTAATAAAGCCAAACTCCAAAATAAACATCAGCTCACAAATAGCCCACACTTAGAAAACTGAAACTTTTATGATGTTTTAGGGTGACTTGGGCCAAAAAACTAGCCCACAAAAATAAAGGGAAGGGCCCCTTTTAAAAAAATGGGGGAAAAAATGCGGGGGTTTTGTTAAACAACATACATAAATGTAAAAATGGTTTTATTAAAAAAAATCCAAAAAATTTTCCTTTATTATAAATTACACAAAAATTTAACAAAAACTTCTACAACCTTCCTTTTCAAAACCCCCCCCTCAAAATTAAATAATGAAAAAAATTTTTCAATGACGAAAAAACTTTTCCTTTTTCAAAAACAACAAAAAAACTCTTTTTTTAAAAAACAAAACAAAACCAAAAAGACTTTCAAACCCCTGGGCTTTTCCACGCTGAATCCCCCCCGGGAGCCCCCAAGAGCGCAGCATTTCATTTTTTGGATTCACCCCCATTTGGTATAGAGCACACCCCTTTTTCAACCCATAAAGCAAGCCGCTATGTCAATACATCACTTTCAGGCACAGCATGTAGCCTTGGACACTCACATACAAAACTACCAATCGTGTAAGCAACGGGCCCTCTTGCAATTGTTTTATCTGCCATTCACAAAAACTGACCAATAACAAAAGCAATTAATCTATGAATTATAACTCCAAGAAAAATTAATTGTAAACAAAAAAAAGTTTTGCGGTTAAATATTTTTATTTTTAATCAAACTGTTTCCCCACAAAGGCAGGGGACTCAAAAAAAAAAACACATTCACAACATTCTTCATCACTTCTTTTGGAAGTGTGCTGAAAATCACAAAAAAATTTTCCCTACGCACATCCCCCCCACTCCCTTTTTTGAGTTTTAGGCACTGCCCTTCCCCCTTCCAGGCTCTAAACCGCTTACTAATTTCCCTAAAATCCCTTCAAAAAATAATTTGCTCATCTCCACACAGTCTTTTAAAACCACTTGTCCCATTTACCCTAATAGCTCCAACAAAAACCTGCTGGTGCTCAAAACCCCCAAAATTTTAAAGCCCTTTTCCCCCTTATTACTTTCCTTTCCCCTCCTCCCCCCCCCCCCAAATTTACACCTTTTCATCCTAGCCTCTACCTCCATATAGCAACCACTCAAAACCCACCTTCACC